GAGCCTATTTTCAAAAATAGTGGAGTGTTCCTTTAAAGGAACGAGGCACATCAGAAATGTTTTTGTTGGGTTGAAGATAAATAAAATTTGATTTGAATGATACTAAAATGTAGTTTTCTTTAGGCCCCACCTGCTGAAGAGTCTGTAGGGGGTGTAAAGTACATTCTGAGACTCTCGGATTGGCCTTGTAACAAAACCAAGAGAAAGAAACAAAAAACTATGAATCAAACCTATAATGCATCAATAACATATTCAGAGGCCAGGATTTCCATTATTGCAGTTAACAAGGTTGGACATTCACCACGACAGCAGCTCATCATTCCCGCTGTGAAACATCTGAACTGTAAGTGTTAGCGTGGGTTTTTAGGTGCAGTATGTGTGTCAGAGTGTGTGCGCTTACAGCAGGATGCAAGTGTAAGCTGTGGGGTTTTTGGTGACTGAGAGTCTTTCAGTGTTGCTAAAAATTGCTCATTCAAAATATGCCACTTAAGTTTTTTTTTATTTGAAAAACTGAGAAAAAACACCTTGAGAGGAAACAGTAAAGTGGAAACTCGTGTGAAATTTTGACATTTCAGACTGCGACTCTGACATGCCCTCAAATATCACCAAGGCTGATAATAATACCTGCTTAGAATGGTACAAGCTGGAAGACGGTGAGACCCGACCAAGGACCGTATATAGCTCAGACAAAAAATTGCTCAAGGACATAAAAAATGGTATATTCATCCATTCATCCAATTTAAAGCATTATATTTATGTGTCATATTAGCTAACTCCTATCTCTGGTTTTACTTACAGAGGTGGAGCATTTTGTACGTCATTATTACTTTCTTCACACCATAAGAAATAAACAGTTTCAAACTGCCGTTATGTGTCCTTTTTACTCAAAACAGAAAGGTAAGTTCAGACTGAGGATGTGCCAGTAAATTTGGTTAATTATTTTCATGTAATGGCCAATAAATGGCCGATGTTAAAATAAATGGCTGAAATAAAAATATTATTTTGTTTAAAAATGTAAAAATAAAACACTAAAATCTAAAATGAAGCAGAAAATGCTTCAAGTAAATCATTATAATGTACAGTATGAAAAATGGATATATTTGAACATAGAGGTGAAGATGCACTATCCCAACTTAAGTGGTTGTAATTCATGAATGCTTTGGACCTAATGTTAGTCTCTTAAAGTAAAATCAAAGCTATAAGTCTAACTATGTTATGTTCCAAATTTGAAAATGATATCACAAAAATTGAGGTTCCTGTGTTAAGGCGCTATACCAAAAATAGCCAAAAATAAGAATAATAAAAAAAAATTAATGCAAAAATGTATACATTTCTGTCACAATACCTCTATCACAAAATAACTACCAAATATGGAATCTTCAGACTCAGATATGTCGGAAAGATTAGAAAAAGTTTCGATTATAAAATATTGCAGTAAATTTTGCAATATGACACTTGACACCACCCACTAGGGAGAGGAGCCCACTAAAAGGTTTTAAAGTACCATTTCCATGGTAATGCAATGTCTGATTTCGAGTGTTTAAGCTTTTGAATTTAGGATGATTAATAAAATATGTGAAAGGCAATAATAAAAGAGCGCCACAGGTTAGAGATGAACTTTTAATGGGTTTTTTAATGACGAATAAATGTCAAAATAATGAAATATCCAATATTGTCTGATATTGATCAATTAAAAATATAACTGATATGGTACCATGAGGTGCATCCCTTATTTAGACTATTTAGAGTAGGTTATTAAAAAATGAAGACCTCAGTATAGATATAGTCCATGATGATTTCTAATTTTCACAACGGAACATTTGCATTTGTTTCAGCACCTATTAATGGTCCAGCCAATGTGAATGTTTCTGATGACACACATGAATCAGCTGTGGTAAGCTGGCTTTCTATTCCTGTGGCGGAGCAGCAAGGATTTCTACAGCATTATGTCATTTGGATATCTGGACAGGGAAACACAAGTAAGCTGAAAGTTTATAGTATTACTAATCATTTATTTGCTATTTGGAAGTCACAGCTGTAGATAGTTTTTTACATGACAAACAGTCTAACCCATTACAAACATATCAATGTTTTGCTTTCTCTTCCTCTTGCTCCAGAGTTCCATAAAGTCCCAGCAAATAAAACCAGCTTCCTGATCAAGGACCTCCACCCAGGGGCCTCTTACACTGTATCTATATCCGGAAGGACAGAAGCTGGTAATGGGCCGAACTCAACGGTGAATTTTGAAACACACTCCAAAGAAATGGGTACTGAAACACAGTCACTGCCAAATGAGAAATGTTTATGCAGAACTGAAAGGTTTATTTGAACTGTCTGCTTTTTGTCAAAGAAACACAATGAGGTGTGAGAATGTACCTGCCAACTGCAAATGTGTTCTGCTATTTCATTCAGGCTTATCGTGGCAGGACCAAACCATCCTGATCGTCTGCGTGGTTGCCCTCTTGTGTACTATAATCTGCTCCGTAGCTGCCAGGAGGTGAGATTACCATAACCCAGAACAGCTGATTGAAGGCCAAGATGTGTGATATTGTACATAACCTGCAGCTTGACTGGCAGAGCATAGAGCTAGCACCACCAAGGTCATGGGATCGACTGCCAGGGATGCCAGAACACATGTGCTGTAAAAAAACAACAATATGACTATATTATTGTATTGCTGCGACTTTCATTCTAATCATTTTGACTTTATTCTCAAAATATTACTATAAATATACTGTTTAATAAATAGAACTTTGTTGTAATTTTGACTTTCTTAAAACGTTACAACTTTAATCTCGCATTGGTGGTAATGCGTTGAATTTAATCTCAAAATAATACTTTATTCTAGTAAATTTGAATTCATTCCTAAAATATTACAACTTTAATCTTGTATTGCTTTGAATTTCTGATCATTTTGACTCAATTCTAAAATTATTACAACTTTGATCCCATAATACCACTTTTTTGTTCAAAATAACTTTATTCTCATAATTTTGACTTTATTCATAAATTATTGCAACTTTAATCTTGTATGTGCTGTAATTTTAACTATTCTCTAAATATTACAACTTTAATCTAATATTGGTTGTTATTTGGACTTTATTCTCATAATTTTTACATTAAAACTCTTTATTCTTATTATTTTGACTATTTAAAAAAAAAATATTATGACTTTAATATCATATTACAGTGACTTCATCTCATCATTGTGATTTTATTCTCAAAATATTACGACTTTGATCCCATAATACCACTTTTTTGTTCAAAATAACTTTATTCTCATAATTTTGACTTTATTCTTAAAATACAGCTTTATTCTTGTAATTTTGATGTATTCTTAAAACATTAAAACTCTTTATTCTTATTATTTTGACTTTTTTTTTAATATTATGACTTTAATAAAATATTACAGTGACTTCACCTCATCATTTTGACTTTATTCTCAAAATATTACAACTTTAATCTTGTATTGGTCATATTTTTGACTTTTTCAAAATATTACAACTTTATTCTTGTAATACGATGACTTTATTCTCATAATTTTGACTTTATTCTTGTACTGATCATAATCTAGACTATTCTTAAAATCTTGCAAATTTGTTACCACTTTGTTTTTCTCATTTTGACTTTATTGCAAAATATTACAACTTTATTCTTATAATACTATAACTTTATTCTAATACTACTGCTTTATTCGAATAATTTTGACTTTTTGATTTTTTTTAAATATTACAACTTTGTTCTTGTAATATTACAATTTTGTTTTTGTAATTTTGAATTTATTTTCAAAATATGCTTTACAGATTGAAGCTGTTACCTGAGGTACCCAGTCCTGTGATTGATGCAGCAGAATTCAGATGTCCGGAAGAGCAGGTTAGCAACACTGAAGAATCGAAGCATTTCCAACAAAACAGCCTCAATATTTTAAAAAGGCACGGCAGGATATGCTACACATTATAATGACCCAAATTCTGAAATCTCCCTTCACTGTTAGCAGAAACAAATCTGTGGTGTGGTCAAAATACCAACCACAACACGTAACATCAGCGCATTTGCATTGATGTACCTTAAAAGCAGCTATCAGCCAGAGAAAAAGAGTAAAGGAAAGCTGGGCTGCACACCCTATTTACATAAATTATAGACTTGACCTACTAATAAATTTGATGCAAAATAAATGGAGAGTATATTTTGTAATTAAATCAATTGAGCATGAGTCATTAGTGCAAGTTATTCCAAATGAGAAAACGTTTTTGTCGCAGGACCAGAGGCCGATGATAGAGGAGGTGCACGAATTCGTTCTCTTGCTGTGCCAAGATCTCGGCAAACGCAGGGAGAACGTGACTCCTGAGCAGAGCACTTTACTGCAAGACTTTGGGCTTGTCGTCTTTGAAGAGGAAGAGGAGGAAGACGGAGAGGGTGGAGTTACTGACTTGAGCTCTTTGAAATCCTGTTGCTATCCGAATCCTAGTTACAGAGGACAGCCTTTCCACATGACAGACAGCACTTCAAGGGACAATGACACAGAGTCCACGTACAGAGATGGCCTGTTCTTTGAAACACGAGTCCTGGAGTGTGACAAAACGTCACTATAATAGAAGCTGACTGTAGGGACAAATAAACAACCCTAAACAAAGCTCCTCTATCTGCTGCATGTGTCTTCTGTACAAGCAGGTGCAGTCAGTTATGGCATCTTTAGCTTGTCTTTAAAGTGCACCTGAGAAATAATGCTGGAAATAACCTAATTCTGAGAACAGAGTGCGATTCTCAGCAGTTACTGAGGTTGCGAACGCATCCTCACTCTTAAGCTTTGTTGTGGTCACTGACGTCACATTCTGGATTCTCATTATGTCTATGTATGAAGCATACTGCTTATTGGTGTTTTTAGTAATAAAGTTACCGTTATTGTGCTCTTCACATACAGGTACATCACAGTTAAATGTTCATTTTTTCAAAGAAATTAATACTTTTATTCAGAAAGGATGCATTAAATTGATCAAAAAGTGACAGTAAAGACTTTTATATTATTACAAAAGATTACCATTTCAAATAAATGCTGTTTTTTTTTTACTTTCTTTTCATCAAAGAATCCAGGAGAAATTCCCCTCAGAACCAATAATGGTTTCCACAAAAATATTAAGCAGGACAACTTTTTTTAAACATCAGTAACAATGAGAAATGTTTTTATTATATTGGTCTTGTTATTATATTATTATTATCAATGTATATAATAATTCAAGTCAAGTCAAGTCAAGTCTGCTTTATTGTCAATTCTTCCACATGTACAGCACATACACACAGAGAATTGAAATTGCGTTACTCTCAGACCCTTGGTGCATACAGATAACACTAACAGTAGAACATAAATACAGATATACAGATTAAATATAAAATACAACTATACAAATAAGGTAAAATGTAAAAAAAAAAA